AAATCCGTTGCCGTTTCACGTCCGCTTCGGGTGTACGGCATGCTACGATTCAGCTTTCAGCTGACCACATTTCACCAGACTGCCAAAATGAACTAATTCAGGTGCGTCAGAGTATGGCTGGCTGGGAAATCGACAGTACGGTTAACACCTGATTACAAGCTTGGGTGGGGTTCACTAACTTGAATGGGTTCCCATCGCCATCCCGTGATCCCCACTGTACCGCTACACCATATTCAGCTGATACCGAAACCATCGACATGTGTGAAAAAGCGTCCCAAGTAAGGTAAGCAAAAGCCCTATAGCGATACCACACAGACAGCACATTCGGTTCGTTCGGTGGAAAGGACAGAGGACATCGCTAGGCCTTTGCCTAGTTTTATCTTTTGCTTCAGTTAGACGTGGGATAGCTAACGTTGTCTTGTAAGTTTGCGGACGCTGTGACGCTCGGCAACTTCGGCTGTCAAGGCGTCATCATTAGCTGGGTACATGGCTTATCAAACAGTTGACTTCATCAGAATTTCGAAACAACCCTTGGATGCAAGATGTATTGTAAGGGCGAGGATCGCGGCGGAATGGCTTACATGCTCAGGCCATCTCGGCATAATTCCTCCAGATTTTTATGGAAAAATATTGATCTACCAACAGTTCATAGCGGGTAGAACTATTTGAGAAAAACCAGTTCCCAAAATTTTATGACCACTCTCTGTACTGACATTTTGTGAATGTAGTGCTCCTCGTAAATAAGTGGGACAGATTTCTCCTAAACAGACGAACGGACAGTCGGCTTTTTTGCCTGAAAAATCCTATCCTTTCACCTTGCAAACGAATTTGGTTTTGCAAGAGACTTACCTGGAACCCAGCTGAATCCAGGCAACTGAATGTGCCGCACTAGGACGCCTCATGGTTCAGTTGCTACGATATTCGAGAATTCGCGATACATGTATGTTCGTAATGCGCCTACCTGACGAGCACCAAGGGGGGCGAAACCGGTAGTGGGCTATCGAAGAATTTTCAGTAACCTTATGAGTAGTAGGATGTGCTCTGTTGTCGTAAGTTTACACCAATCAACCTCAGAACGCATCCCAAAAGAATGCAGTACAGTATCTTCAAACGTACTTTCTTGCACTGATTCAAAGGGATTAATAACGTAGTTGGCGTTTGCATTAACAGTTTCTGAATGGATACCTGGGCAGTTCGGATAGTAAATCAGAGTGCAAAATGACAGAATGTATAGAGGGTACTGTTCAAACTAGGTGACTAGACTGCTTCTTCCTTGGAAGCGCCCTGGTGAGAGAGGGCCATTATGCTATCTTAGTAAAAGCACACTTCCGAAAAGTGGAACCTTCCCCTTTCACGGAGGGTAAAGGCTTGAACGATTTCAGTTCTGCGGTTTATGATTTGTTAGCAAGTTGCGAATTAACCTTAATTACTGGAGGAACCGCGATATCCTTTGCCAGGCATGCATCTTCCGCACTACAGATTACGTAGGAAGCTGGCAGCTTAGGGTCTTAGAGGATCATTGGAGCCATCAAACTGCGTACTTGGTAATCAGTAAGTAGCAGGAAGTAGGGACAGGTGAATAGAGGCAGTAAATACCTACTTATTGACAACTGGTTATACGAACAAATGGGTCAATAATCATCACGGATTAAACAGAATGTGCAATCAATAATAGCGGAAGGAGAAAAAAAGAGCAGAAAACGGGGATACTGAGGCAGCCGGGCTTTCCAGAAACAATAACGATATCAAATGATAAACAATGTAAATTTTCAGTACATGGGGATGACGGCGCAGAAGAGATTCAGTACGCTCAAGAGGCATTTCCGAACCAAAGGGAAAGGGAATCTATCTGCAGTCTTTAGATGACAGCCCGACAAAGTAGCACGTGCCACGTGTTAAAATCGAATGCGCGGTGGATAGCGTGTTCGTCTGCGATCCGAGTTCGGTCCCCAGAGCAGACGCTCGAAATTTCAAGCGATAGACAGATGACAAAATCTCGACATTATTAGTCAAAAGAAATCAAGCCTTAATCAGGGAACAAAGAAACTGGGAAACAATCGGGAAAGATGCGAACAGGTCCTGCTACTCCTGAGTAGTCAACTAACCAAGACAAAACACCCACTAATTGCCGTTGATTCGCAAGAGATATCAACAGAGTATTTACGTCCCAGTGGTAGTGAAACCCCACTGGGTCGACATTAACGAGGTGACACTAAACGCTGTCTGATAGTGGGTTTCTTTTAACTCTCACGGTCCAGTAAACCCAATGATTCGGAACAAACCAGTCTGTTTGCTCCCCAGTTTTCGTTGATCTGGTCAGCAGAGCTCGTTCACCAGAATTATGCACAAAACGGCCGAAAGTGTCGACCGGCTACTCTGTCCTGTGATAATAACTCATCGTTCACGTGGTAGAGCACCAGCCACCCACTGTAAACATTACGATAGGTCTGGCAAAAACCACTTTGTCCAACCTAGCCAGCATCATTCTCCTGAATGTGGTTTGCTCGCATGCAGGATAACAGTTTTCTGATAACTGAGTGGGCCTTGGATCAGAGAGAAGTTGTTGGGGAAATCTGTAACATATCTCAGCATCTCAAAGCCTTCTCTCTGTCTGAACCCGAGTGAAACACAATAGTATCGCGGTGGGTGAAAACGACTATTGGTTCAGCATGGTTTACCTCATGGTCTTGGAACTAGTCATCCACTTCCTTTAATTCTTTTGGTTGGTCATCCACAGTTTCCCCAAACATGCAAAGAACCTAGCACGCGGTATAATGTAGGACAGAAATTACACGATGCACTGAGGTTGACATACTGATGAAATAACGGTTGTACTTCAGCTCAGTCCTCGGTCTGATCCTCCCGAGCAAGTGTTTCCAGTGGAGCGATCATCAGAGATGCACTGAACGTATTGAGCACCCGGAGCAAACCGCGTACAGCGTTGCCTATTTGAAATGTATGGAACGGTAACATTTGGAAAATTCGGACGAAGCGCTGGAAACCAGCTCATACTGGCTTTTTGTTTCTTTTTTGCCTCTGGCCTGTCCAGCGTCAAGGCTGAAAGNCTCCCGAGCAAGTGTTTCTAGTGGTGCGATCAACAGAGATGCCCTGAACGTATTGAGCGCCCGGAGCAAACCGCGTACAGCGTTGCCTATTTGAAATGTATGGAACGGTAACATTTGGAAAATTCGGACGAAGCGCTGGAAACCAGCTCATATTGGAATAATATTGGTTCTTTTTTGCCTGTGGCCTGTCCAGCGTCAAGGCTGGACAGGCCAGAGGCCCGACCTCTTGACCAATCACACGAATGTCAAACTCATTAGCCATCTGGGAAGAGCAAAGCGGTTTGGGTTCAAGGTCCCGCCTAAAAATAGTTGACTACCGCAATGCGTGTAGTCAAATATGATGCAATAGTCGAAGGATTGAATTTCACCTCACAGTCTTGTGCCGATGGATTGGACGGTGTCACGATTTAAAGGAAGTGAAACAGCTTGCATGGGGCTGCATTTGCCAGAAAGACGAAAGCTATTTGAAGACCACCATGAAGTTATCAGCATGTTCAAGCAAGGAAATTTTATGTAACCGACAAAAACGCGTGCATGCTCTGTGTGAAATTCGGGGACAGAATAAACCTCTCTATTTTCATTAGTATCATTCAAAGGGCGTTCACAGCTGCCCGAAATGTGCGTATCCATTTTAGTTGAAATAGCGTTACGCTGGTGCAACTTCAATTTCCATATCTCTCCAGCAAAACAGAACTTTCTCGAGCTGATTTCGGATTCGAGATAATTTCCTTAGGTCGAGTGTTTTGCTGAGTCTAAACGATTGGTATAGGTAGTCCTTTGTCATGCTGGAGAGTCTTAAGTCTTTCTGAATTCCCACTTTGCATGCAGATCCAGTTTCTAGGGGGGATTAAGCCCTTTGTTTGGTCGCAGTTGACGCTCCATAAATCGCAATTTGAGGGAGCCGCAGAGATACTTGCTTAACAGGCGTTGATCACTACAAAAGAAAGTAGAATTCACGTGTGCCTACAGTTTTCAAGCCGAATGTTACCTGTCCCCAAGGACATTACCTAACTTCAAGCGTTGTCCGTAGCGGCGACTGGAGACCCAGGTAGCTGAGAGTTTCTGTGAAACCATTGTTTTCTGACACTACTGCAACGCGTTAATCAGAGCAGCAAAGACTCAAGTGATCTTATCGACTAAGTCTATCAATCTCAATATCGTTCTGTAATTGATAACTTGATCCATTGCAGCCGAAGTTAACGCCACACAGCTGATTTCCTCTGGTGATTCGGGTTGCCAACACTGAAGTGTTCTTAGCATTTATTACGACAACTACATCATTCATTGTCCAAGGTGGATATCACCATTCGCTACAATTCACACAAGTTGAGTGAGCATTCATTTGTACGGTAAGTTCAGTCATCAAGCTTACTTATGGAGCCACGACTGCGCATCGAAGATACCCAAACGTGCCATACTTGGTATCAAGGAACCTTGGTTCGCCAAAAATCAGTACACATGTCATGTGGCTTACATGTTTGTTGATTTCATAGAAAGACAGGCCCTAGAGGCAACAGTTGCCAAAATTTCTCGATCCATTTTTGGAAGCGGTATCTAGCCTACCAGCCTAACGGCAAATTTGCCGCGATCGGAACAAAATCGTCCCTTATTGGAGTGGAAATAAATTGGTGGAAGGCTGTGGTCGCCATCTTCAGACTTCATGCGAATGAAGGATGATGTATTTAAATTAGTTCTCACTTGCCTTGGAGAAGTTAAAGAAATGTCCTTGACAAGTTACACAATTCGGTATGTGCATATAAAGGCTGATACTGACCGGGTCGTCGTGCGTTGTTCTTCACACAGTTTTGCAGACTGTCGAAAGCGAGTCGAATCAAAGCAGTGATATACAAGAGATACTTGGCCTGTAAAGGTTGATCCTTCGTAAGATTTTTAAACACTCAATGTTCAAGAGATCGACCATAACATGACTGAGCCGTCCAAACGGGTGCCTGCTTACTGGCTATCGAAAACACGAATACACATCCCACTACTAACAAACTGAATAGTAGATACGAAGCGACAGAACAAAACGGCTGGCCAAACGCCATTTGGTGGAACAGCAGACTGACAGGTATGTATTGCAGATGATTGTGAAAGGCAGGAACTAAAGGTCAAAGTAGCTGCATGGCCCTAGAACCATAAGAACTGTCTTGGCAGGTCCCGTGCGAAGTTGCCTTCAACTAAGAACGGGTTGAACATGATGTTGAGCAAATTGTTGTATCGGGTGTTGAACGATGGAGGGTACTTGGTTCGAGGATCCTGGAAGAGAACAAAATAATATTATAATATGTATATACATATATATGTGTATATATTATAATAATATTTGAGGCGCCTTTGAATCAACTCAGTACGCAAATAGGTCACAAATACCGTCCATCCAGTTTGTGACACAGGATCGCCACATTTGGAGAAACTGATTGTAGTTGAATCAGGTCAAACTCAATGTTAGCCCCATTCCATGAATCTGCATGCGGAGCCTCTTGAAACGTTTCAGAGTTTCCTATAAGCATACTGATTTAGAATATTGTCCAGTAGAAGCAATTGTACTTGAACCACATGGCACCACCAGCAGTCACTCCTCAGGGGTCAGACTACGATTAGTTCATACACGGCACACAGAACTTGTCAGGATCTCCTTTCAATAACCTCATCAACTTTGCCACATGAAACATGAAATTTCACGTGTTAGTCTTTCCGACACACTAACGGCATTTCTTCCTCTTCTACTCTTTCCAGAATAAAGACGTGTTTTAACAAGGCTCATGTATGATCCAGTTTTTTACAGGTTTCTCATGTTTGACTTTTTTCGTGGTACGTGGTGCCATTCCTACTGCATTTTTGTGCTGTTCAACAGAAAAATACGTAGCAATATGAAGTAAGAACAGGTCTTTCTACTTGTCTAGCGGAAATGCAAGTCTTAGAGTGGAGATAACGAGGTGCCCATTTCAGGTGACGGCGTGGGAGCAATAAGTCTGTGTGACAAATTCTGTGAGCAAAGACAGCTACATTCAACATCAATTTATTTAGGTCTTGCCCGGAAACAGGTGACTTGTCTGTGTAACAGTGCGAACATTTCTCGGATTCCTAGCTAGCCAGCGGCCTCTTTTTGGAAGTGTGTACGGATAAAAAAAGAAGGATAAATAAGCTCCTTGTGCCAACTGTTCTTGCTCAAAGCCGTACCAAGACTGGCGTGATCATCAGGGCGATGTCTGGGTCTGTAAGCTGCTTTCTGCTCATGTATCTGGAACCAACACTACTCTCATTTGCACACGGGATATCCACTTAATCCTGGTTGGATTTCTCGTTTGTGCTATTCTGTGATACATATGTACAAATTTTAGGCAGATTTAGAATAAGGCGCTGATTTTCACCGGCTTTTGGACAAGTATCTTTGTATTTTTTCATACTGATTCCCTTCTGAGAGCGCCATCTCCCCGCCTTGAAATGGTTTCTTCCTTCTTAAGCGTAGGAACATATTGCTAGCTTAGGAAAGCACTTCCCGGATGATTTAGGGAATCCTTCGGGGTGTTTACTCATGATGGCTACTCATTTTTCAGTCGCTTGGTTAAGCTCTGATATAGTGACGAAAGTGCGATGTTCCTGGAATCTGTCATTGACTTTGGTATGTGCAATCTCTCGTTGCCGAGGTGTCCCATTGTTGTTACACATCTGCGACTGTGATTACAACAATGAAGGTGTAAGGCGGAATTCCACATGGATCGCGCTTTACCGCTCGCAGTCAGGTGTTGCTACGGCCAAGCAACTCATCCCGCGCAAGATTGGCCAAAAGTTCGGGACGCTTGCCGGTCCGGCATCAAGCTGAGACCTGATTGGTCGAAAATCTGGACCCAACAGCCAAGCATGACCCAGTATTGGCCGAATGCCGGTTGCCAATGCCGCATTCAGAACGCGTCAGAACTTCCAGAAAGTTATATATGAAGCGCTGTACAAGTGTTCCTGACTTCGCTTTGGGCGTTAATATAGCTTGTGCACCTTGGGTGACTGTTTTGACGCGAACGCTAGCTTGGGAGGCTCAGACCGAGAACTAAGCTGAGAAAAATACCGTTACTACACAACACTAAGTCGAGGGCTTTCCTACCAACTGCCACTGTTGGAAACCCAAAAAAACAGCTAAGAAACCGACTCGTCCTTGGACAGGATGAAGGTGAAACACTGAGATAGATAGTGACAATGAGTTCGCCTGACTCTCCAGAGAGGTAGCTTTTGTTCGAGGTGATCTAATCTAGTTTTGTGCTTATAGGCGGTAGTTGGATGGTATGAAACTTTCTTGACCGTCTGTACCCACGCAGTCCCCTGAGAGTCGATAAGCTTAGCAAACCAGAGCATGTTTTGAAAACGAACTAAGCATCATCTGTTGGGTAGGTACAGTTACATCTCTGGAGAGATCATATGGAATGACCTGAATGAAAAATAACCAATGCATGCTTCCATAGACTCAAAGAAATTAGTTCGTTCCGAGACTGGCTAATCGGGAAACAGATATTGTTTTCCTACTTAAGGAAGAAGGCATGAATAACCTTAGCGGACTGGATGGAACATGATGTGTTGGAAATGCAAGAAACTACCGCTTGTTAGTTGCATGAATTACGGCGATACAGACCCATAACCCTCTGAGTAACAGGTAAATCCTTATAACATCTAGGTGGCGAATCTAGCAATCACAGTTAAGTGTAAGTGTTAAGGTCACTGATGAGTCTATCGAGGGCGACACAAGTCTCGCGGTGCGAACATTATACAGTAACCCCCTCTCGAATAGAGGACTCTCCTGAAGAGTCCACAGCGTCGATGCTCGAAGCACGATGAGAGCAGTGAGTTACACGCAGGGCTGAGCAGCAAACTGATAATACTCTATTCTTAGAAAAAATATAGATTCGTACTAAACTTTCATTTCACGTTAGAATGCTCTACTGACAGGGCTGCTGTTACAACTGAACACCAAATTGCACACAAATGCCGAATTACAGTCAGTTGCAAATTGAGTTGGAGACCAAAACGAATCCCATCTGAACCTCTGGTTTATGAGGAGATCGTTTAAGTGTTGTAAGTTGTATGTTCCTAGAAATTCATCAGACCCGTTTGAAATTAATGGTCCTGGGTTTGAAAACTTCACGATTAGGAAGGAATTGAATAGCCCGGCCGGACAACAGTACACCGTATCACTAAGTACATTTTGGCTAAATTAGCCCGTTTGAAGCCATTATAACCATTAAAAGAGGCTGGTAAAATTAAGAAATGATCCAATAATGACGTGGACTGTCCCGGATACAGTGATGAGTGTTGTAAATATATGCACTGTGGAGATCAAATCCCCTTTAGGAAGAGTTTCGGTGGATCCGGTATGCGTAGAGGAAAATCCATTGCCGATTAAAACTTAAGGGTCCAGTTGAAAACAAATCCGGTTTGAAAATCACTAATCTACGAACTCAGATACTTCGACCTTATGAATTGTTAACCGAAAATGCTTACCATATAGAGCAGGCGAACTTGATGTTCACGAGCATCGTAGCTATAAACGCATTCGTACATGTCTTTCGGGGGGTCAATTTTCTGGAATTGCTTGGAGAAACTACGTCCGGCATCGGAGAACCTGAATTTTTTGATGAAGAAAGAAAGAGGGAGGGTTGACGGTGGCGTGAGGGATAATTATCTCCTCCCCTTGAACAGTCCCCTCTATAGAGCAATTTAACGATTTCATTTACCAGTCGTCTCGTGAAGTGGCTAAGATTTACTGACGGAAGTCGAACGAAAATGGCATGATACACAAATGGGTTCTATGGATATGACTTGACCGGAGCAAGGTGCTCCTTTGATTGCCAAATTCACCAATTGAAGCGTACATATCCGAGACTGGAAACAAGCACACCTAACGCCTTGGAACATCGTACAATGAAGATCGTTCCTACAAGCACTAATCAAACAAGAAACACTTCCCGATACCTTCGTATTCAGAATCAGTCAGCAGCGTTGTGACCTTATCAGTCTACATTTTACGATCCACCGATAGAGTAGTGTCGGTCGAGTGTACCCTTGTGTTTTTGTTGCCCTTGTCTTACTGCTAGACGATACTTGACTTGTTCCGTAGTAAATGAGACCAACCAAGAAGAAACTCATCAACTTCTGAGCGCATAGCAGAAGAAGCACTTAGATGGGGATTGCGCAAGTCACGTGCCTTGTTGTAACAGCTGTGTGCGCATGAGTAGGCCGGTCCCCATTGGTTCACGGTGTGCTGTCAACCGTACACAAAATCCTCAGATGACGTCAGCTGACTACATTAGGATGCCACCTCACACAATTACGCCACCGGAACATAGTATTAAATTACAGGGAGTCAAGTCGTGTCCCAACAAGTACGACCAACCAAGTGAGTCTAATCAGTTAGTTCAATTGACCGACCAGATGAAACGGTGAAATGAGGATCGGGACATCAATCCTGCTGATCCACGTACCTAAACGGCGCATTTCAAGGTGAGGTCACAAGCCCCAACAGAGTAGATACAAATTGGATAGATAGGGCTGATCAATAGCTGAATTGAGAAATTCCATGCATTTCCACCGCAGCTGTCTTTACGACGATGCAAAGAAATGAGGAGACTGCGGAAAGGAAATGCAGAAAACTGAATTGTAGTCATCCGAGTGCAGGAACTGTAGTAGACGGTCCTCATTGATTGTATCCTCAGAGGTGAAACACTTCATCGAGGAAACAGTTTGGTATGCTTCGTGGGAGAGGAGAACCAATTCGTCATAAAATGTGGATCAGGTTGCGACCGTAACAATCAAGAAACAAATGCTTCATTCTGAAAAGAATCCAGCTGTGGGAAGACTCTATTTCTATTGTGAACACCCTTCAGGGAAAGGGCATCTTTGGTTAGCCTCTCCAAGGAAGAGGGCGACTGAAACTTATGAAACACGACTTGGTGACACGTCAGTCAAAGGCTAAAAAATGGACAGCGTGTAATGAAACACGTGGACCGTCAGACAAGAAAACAAGTGTCCGAGTATGACGAAAATAAGATGATAGAGAGGCGGAACTCACTTGGCACGAACATTGATTTTGGCACGGTCGTTGAAGAGTCCCATTCGCCATTCGAGGAATTTGTAGTCATCTCGAAGGAGATGAGCACCACTGAAATTCATCTCAGTTATTTTTTGGGCAATCTAGATTAGGGAAAATTCTAATGGTGAGTGTTGTACACAAGTGCATGCTTTTCAGATGGCAGGTGGTCCGAACTTCGAGTTATCCGACAGACCAGCGCATCTCAAGCACACTACAAAGGGAACTGCAGGCAAGCCATCCTGGCCAAGTACGAAATAAGATTAATGGAAGTTCAGAGATTAGGCTCGACAAAGGATAAGACAATTAGTTTGCAGGCAAACAGAACTCTATTATGACGAAGCCGAATGGAAACGGGTATAATTTTTTGTAATGAGAACCCGTAACTTTGTTCATGCAAAAGACGTCTTCATCAGTCTCATGGACAGTGATCAAATTGCGAACTCTCCTTAGAACGTTTGATAAGCATATAGCCTAACGTCGTGATAGTTTCAGGCAGTATGTGCACTTGTCAGCTAATTAAGCTTGCTGATAGTGATACACTACTCTTAAGGTTGCTGAAAACTCATCGATAGTCCACGACTGGTTTCGTCCATCTTGTGGGGCAATAAACAACAAGCGTGCTAATTCTGGCAGTCGACTGTGAGAGGCTCGAAAGAGGGTCGAATTCCAGTCGGATAAACGCAAGTTCGAGAACTGATTCATTTGAGCCTCCTCACCGGGGCCACTAACGATGCTCACCCCACACAGGGACCGAAGGACAATAGGTTGGGATCCGATAAGGAAAGTGTTCTTGTGTGAATTATAATTACAGAAGCAATTGCTGGAAAGCATAATTAGTGAGTAACTACGACTTTTATTACTAAAAGGTTATGGTGTTGCTTGTCAGCCATCATCTGAGTAGAACTTAAAAACGGGTTAAGTGCAGCGGTAAAGTGGATGTAAAACACCGTGAAGGACCGTTTACTTATGAGGATGAACTCCATAAAAGGCACTTCTTGACTGATTCTTGAAGGATATCTTCTCGTGAGGATTGTGCGTTTGATTCACGGAGGCGATAGTCATGTAAAATGTGGAATATCACAGGCCAGAATGAGAAAAGCGATATCCAAAACAACTTATGCAGGTTCGGTACAGCAAAGCATGGGGAAAAATTCAAAGCAAGGGGCAACTTACAATCCTGATGTCATTTTCATCATAGACGTCCATGGTGCTTCCGTCTATCACCATAATTTCGGAGTAACGGCTCATTCGAGCAAGGTAGCTATTCTCCAACATTTTTGTGTATGTATCTAAAAACTTGTCCGTCAAGTTGATGCCGTTCATCTCCCAAGGCTAGACAAAAACAGAAAGTGAACGATTTCCAGTGAGGTAAAACGCTCCAAAGTGGTGGATTACATCTAGGGACGAAGCAACCAGTGGTATATGTTCCCTGGTACTCCCCAAGAGCAAACCATCGAAGAAGTCAATCAAACGATCCGGTTTCAACTTTACGGAAGATGGAACGCTTCCTAGGAGCAGAGAAGTGAGTAGGCTACTCCCTTGAACAAATAA